GTAACAGGTAACACATTTAACAGTAATCGATCAATCAACCCATGTATTTCAATACACATTAATGCATAATTAATTTCGCATAATGTGTCCCAAACACCAAAATCTCTGTTTCTTCTATTTTTTTTCCATAAAAATGTCATTTATATGATTGTTTTTTTTCTTTTCTTTCTTTCTTCAGTAACATTCTAAAATTGTTCCCCTTTATTTACTGAATTAGACAAATAAAGGAAAAAATCAAATTTCATTTTTCTTGTTTAATTGTTCTTTATTTTTTGTCTTTTCTGCCATTATCATTTCTGTTTTAATTACTATGCTTTAAATTATTTTTGAAATCAATGTGTTTTCATACTAATCTCAATTTTTTCCAAACAAAATTATTCTAATATTAGTTGTTATTATTTTTCCTTGCAATACCAGTAACATTTTCAATATATTGTTGACATCATTGAAAATAAAATATAAATGAAAAGAAACAGTCTTTTATTATAATATTTATTCACACAAAATAAAAAAGGTAAAAAAAATGGGCTGAGATATTTTAAAAAAGTAACGATTAATAAATTGATATAACTTTGAAACGGTAAGATTGTTTAGCTTAAAGTTCAATCTATTACAATCTTATCATATATGTTCATCATAATTTATTTTCATATTCATGAAAGATACAGATAATCATTGCTCAGGTTGATAATTTCATTTTTGAGAAATCCCACAACTCTTTCCAAAATGATCAATTTCTATGCAGGCTCATTTTTGGAATCAAATTCTAAATTGTATGGTGATTCAAATTTCGAGGATATCTTCAGAAGAGATGAGAATCTCAGCAATTTCAAAGAAAAAAAAAACAAATAAGTTTCCTCTATATTGAAAAATTGCTTTACAAACTCAGAAGCACAAACTATGTTCGTATCTCCTCCCGCCACACCCCCATGAAATCACTCATCGATGCCTTTTACCTTTGCTTAGTAACCGAGATATGTTTGAGTTTATTCATGCTTCACGGGAATTTCTGTATCGACGGCGATGGCTTCTTGAGGCGCATTATATGGTGCTTTGATTTGCAAAATTCCATCCACCGTAAAATGGCATGTCATTTCTTAAAAAAAACTTTCTAGTTCTTCCTTGCCTAAATCTTTCATTTACCATTTTTTAATTTTAACAAACAAAACTTGCCAAATTTTTAGCAATTCATAATTCATTGAAAAAATGAATTTTCGAAATCTTTTAATGTTCCAAATGAAAAATTGTGCTTACCCTTACTAATCACTCCTTGTGGCAAAGTAATTTTACGCAAATATTCAAACTTCGTTTCGTCATCTTTGTGTTTTGCTTCAATCGTCAGTGTATTTTCCTTCGCATTGGTCTTGACAATAACCTGAACATATTCATCATCATATTAAGACAGAATTTTGAAAAAGTCTATCCTAGAAAAAAACCTAAAACGAGATATCATCACATTAATAATGCTCTTGTAAAATTATTGCCAAACAATACATTCGTAAACGAAAAACAAAACTAGTTATAGGTTGTATTTTAATGATATAGATATAGAGATGCAAACCTCTTCCGGCTTAAATCTACGAACATCCAATTCTAATAAGAATTTTTTCACGCCGTCTTCTTCCACGATTGGATTCAGAACGCGATATGCTTCTATTTGCGAAGGATGTTCGCGAACTCCTATAGGTCGAAAATTATTAAACCAATCGCGTGAATTCCCTTAAAATGAGATTAAATTTATTATTTATGCTCTCATCGGTAAAGCGATAACGATGAAAAATTGGTATAAAAGAAAAGAATCTACAAGGATATATCTAAATACATGTTTGTAATTTCCTTATATTCCGTTCTCTCTGATTAGTCATAATTTTAATTTTTGGGTTCGTAAATCAGCGTTCAATATTCGAAAAATAGCTCAATTGTCTAATGGGATCTATCTTTGTTATGAATAGTACACTTTTTCCCAATGATCAATGCATTTCCGATCCCGAAGCGAACCATAAAAATGCATATCACAGCATAACGAAATAAGAATTGATGCTACGCATTTTAACATATCCTTCTCTTACTAATCTCTATCGACGCTACTGATAGCTCAATCAAAAATAAATATGATTGAAGATAACGAGAATTAGTGAAAAATAAAGAAAAAAAGAAAATCATAACTGTAGAAATTTTCAAAATAAACTTTGAATTTCGAAAAATTTCCGAAAACTGTTAAATTTTATGAATTTATTCACTATTATCCATATAAAATAAGCCACCAACTCACAGAACACTCGATCAAACTGTCGCTCAATTTCCTGTAGCTGCCTGTCAATATTTCTGAATAGTGATGATAGCGGATAACTGGATCCGAAAGAGTAATTCCTGACGGAACAGATTCGTGATCCATTAGTTATAACGTTAATCCCTTGACGTATAATCTGTCTATTCAATAAGCGCAACATTAAGCGTACTCGGACCTGCAAAATGACAATTAGATTAATATACAGGTAATCAATCTAGTGCGTTGACGAGTTACTTTACACCAAAGCTTGACGTAGGACATTCTAGGCTAACAGAGTATGGTGTCACCCAGAAAAGCTAAATTGCCGGAAAACGTTTTAGCTATTTGGTAATAATTTGTAAACAAAAAAAAAATGGCCAAATATCAAATTTTCAGTATAAAATTATCAAATAATGAAACTTCAAGGATGAAGAAATTCGTATATAAAGTAACATTACAAACAATCGGATAAAAAGATTTCAAAAAATACTTGAAAGCCAAATAATCGGAAACTAAAATTTAGACATGATCACACTCTCGAAAACCACAAAGAGGATGAAAATCGTTTCGATGTTTTAGGAAAAATGATGACCTTTAGCACATATGACTTCCTTCTAAAATTCCTAAATAAAAGAAAACGTACGTACTAAAACTTCACGTTGTAACAACGGATACCGAAACAGCTAACTGCCTTGCAATTATATATACACCGCTGTAACTGCTCCAGAAATTTCTCGAACATTCTCGAATGATGAAATGGTAAATTTTAAATTGAAAGTTTATTTTAGAACATAAACAAACAATCAGTAATATCGGTCAAACATTCATATTAATGTGTGTAATTTATTAACGTCAAAATTCTTCTTCATATCATACATAATATACCAATCACGTTTGTGTTAATCTTCAACCGTTCTTTTACCATCATAACAGTAACGATTGACAGTAATGTATGGCTGTAAATAATGGATGATAATTATCCGATTTGTGAAATTACGTTTCATATTCACGCCATTTCAACGTATGCTTATGATGTAGCACATGAAAACTTCCAATCTCAAAAGAAGTAAAAAATATAAATTAAAAAAGAATGCAAAAAACAAGACAAGATATTTCATAACTGATTTTGTTTATTTTTTTATTTTTTTAAAATGTTTTCATAGCTTATCAGATATTTTGATCGAGAAAAATTTATTGTTCGAATGACCGTAATCAAAATGTATTCTGTTTCGCACATGCTACAACAACAACAATCCGTTATTTTTTTATTAGAAGAACGAAATGGAAAATAAAATGTGGAAGAAAGTCATAAAAAAGATTTAATTTAACGATGTGCCACAATCTTCGGAATTCATCCATTGTATCAAATTTAAAGTTAACGCTTCTTCGAATTTTTTCATTATTGGTTTTATTTTAAGTTTTTTGGTTATAAGTAGAAATGAAAAATATGATAAAGCAAAAGTATGCAAGCAAATAAAGGAAGAAAAAACGGGAAAAAAGCGTTATTTTTTATTGTAAGAAAACTAATAGAAAAAAATAAAAAGTAAAATTAGTCAGGTCCAGCAAATCTTTCAACTCAAAATCTTGCTTGGATGGTAGAAGTTAAAATGACTATTTAAAAAGTGATGATGTAATTTCCTTCATTCCTGTCTTCATTTTATGATCTGTTTTCACTCATATTTTTAATTACAATCATTATTTACCTTGAATAGGCTAATGCTTAAGTGATTTTTATGTGAATATGCGGAATATCTCGAATGATTCAATTGTGGAATATAGAATTCACGATGAAATGAAAGTCTTGGAGGAACTTGAATTTCCTACAGTTTTTCAATTAAATCGCTTTAATATCAATTATAAGTTGTTAGATTGATAAATTTTTAAGAAGTTTCTTCCTCTTTCATTTTTTTCATCATTTGCTTAAAATTTCGTGTCGAATTATTTGCTTTTCTTCTTGATTTCAGTAAATCTTTAATTGCAAAATAATTTTTCATTTCATATTTTTTATGGTAGTAATACTTTTCTCATGCATTACTGTAACTTTACACTTTACTCGCTATTTCACGAATGAGAATAAAATAAATGTTGAAAGTGAAGGGTTGTTGAACCTCTCTGCTCTCTCTTCTTCAACATTTTTTTTTTCTCATTTGCTATTCTTGTTAATATATCTTACAGCTAATTTTTTCCTTCATTAGTAACTTTTGCTAAAAATTTTTTTATGTAATTCTTAATTTCTTCTAATGCATACATTTCTCAGGATTATCTTCTAATTTCTCTGCACATATATTTCATCATAAATTGAAAGCATATTTTTAGGAATTGATGATAGAACGAATTAAGTAGAATCCTCTCCTGCCAAGAATTTCCGGATCAATTGGAAAAAGATTATTATCCATGATTAAAATGAGCCTACGATAATCAGCAAACTTGGCTTGGGACGAATTTGTTTCATTGTCAGTTTAACATTTCCTGACGTGAAGGTCACATTCGACAATTTGAGTAATTGCTTTCTGAAAGAATCGGAAGGGCGTTGGAGGAGTGGGAGGGAGTAGGGGATTAATTTTTTTCGGTTTTCAATATCATACATTTTATGAGAATAAATAATAGGTGATAATTTCAAATAGTTTTGAGATTGTAACTGCTTGATAAATTCGGAGAAATCTGAAAGAGTCGATTTTCAGGAAGTGCTAACGATAAAGATATAGCATCTATTGGAATCAATCAGGAGTTAATGGTTATTTTCATAGACATATTTTTTATAAAATAAATTCATCGTTTTATTTAGCAGTTAATCATGGCGCACGTCGCGTGCAAATGAAAGTATCATTATCAAGAAAAGTATTTGTTTTTTCATTATTATAATTACGTTGAATTTGTTGTGAAAATCAACATTCGCAGGATATTCGAAGATATTTCGGTGGCAGTACAGGAAAAAGTGCGCTTACAGAGCTAAGAGCTAGTCAAGGTAGTCCCAAAAGATCGGATAAACGACCCCAGGTTACACAAAGGAAGGCAAGTAAGAATCCATTGGTGACTGATGTCGTACTCTCCGATGCATGTAAGTATAAATGCTATTTTTATATGATTCACAAGTAGAAAGTTTAACTTTAAAATTTAAAATTTGACTATTATATCCATTTCAAGAAATATTGGTAAACATGCGGCTTTTTACAGAATATTTTATTGTTTCTGACGTCATTTTATTTCTGCTGAGGGTCAAGACTTTAGTGTTTTTCAATTCTATTTTGGCACTTAAAATATTCTTCTTGTGCTGAGTCTACTGTCTAAGCCAGGAATTTTATGGTTGTCCTAGTATGAGTTACAACTATTTCAGTGTAAAATCCAGTCATGCTGTGCTATGTGAAATTTTTTTGGTTTATATTATTTATTCATATTTTAGAATTAAATTCTCGAGATGCCGTTTCAAGTAAATATTTAAGCATTTGTACAAAAATTTTTTAACTGTTTATAGCTGATGATGAGAATCCATTGCCGCGTTCACTACGTAAAGAGTTACACAAAAAACGAGCAAAAAAGAGGATTCTATTATCATCTGGTAATCCTTCTCATCCTTTATTCCTTTCATACCCGAATTATGACTCTTTTTTTGATTTTAACTGAATGAATCTGTAGTTTTCTCTTAATAGTTTTACTAAAACTATTTTCTATCTCTATCAACTGCTTTAATTGAATACGAATAAGGCGGTGAAAATATAATTGTTTTTATATACTTCCTTCTTTGAAGACGATGACGATGATCTGCCACCCTCCGCTTCCCAAGTGCGACCACCTAAAAGAGGTGAAAAAATTACTTTGAAGAAAGTGGACACCAAATCAATGGAAAGTTTGTTGAAGCGCACAGCCGATGTGAGCTATTAAATTTTGTCGAAAAACTAATCATTTGTCAGATGTGTGTATTTTTTGTGAAATTCTGCAACCAATCCTTCCGCATGATGAAATTCAGGAAGAACTTGATGAAGGGGAAGACGGATTTGTTCCGGCACCACCAACAAAAAAGAAACGTAACAGAACGCCACCTGGTCAAGAGAAGTTGGATTTTGGTCGCCTTAGCACCATCAAAAAGAAGGAGTCTCCAAAAAGTTTGTTGGAGTTGTTCTATTTTTTTTTAGTGTGATTTACGCTAGATAGTTTTTAAAAGCGAATTTTGGAATTTATTATTTGCTTTGAATTAATGAGAAAATTTTAGAAACAAGGGCGAATCCTGCCTCTGAATTGGAAGTGATTAATCCGGCTGAATTCTTCCGCAATTTCGACAGAATTTCCACGGAAAAAAAAAGCGCAAAACAAAGTGATATTACAACCAAGGAGACAAATCTGCCCGAGAAAAATGTTCAAGTAATAATTTCACCAGAAGCCTCGCCAAGGAAATTGAAGCAGGAAATAGCTTTGGAAAGCAAAAAAGAAAGGAAAGTGGTCGGTTTAAATGATGAGAATTGTAAATCATCTCAACCATCAACAGGATCAATTAAAGCGAAAAAATCACCAAAAACCATTGCATCCACTTCTGTTAAATCATTAAAAGCAAAAAAAGATGTTGCTGTTTTGAAAAAAGAAGAAGACCGGATACAGGAAACGAAAAAACGGAAGGAGGGGCATGAGACAAGACAAAAGGTCGGAGTAGTAAATGATGGTGCCAATAAAACAATTACCACTGATATTATCAAAGAAAAAAAAATATCAAAAAGCCGAGTGGCTCAGCAAAAATCGTCGAAAGTGACAAGAAATTTAAAAGAGGAGACGTCGAAACTTGTTGAGTTGGCTGAGATTAAAAGTCCTGCTGGAGAAGTAAGTTTATTATTTAAATTTTGAAACCTTTCCACATGTCATTAAAGAATTCGTGTTGACAGTAATAAAAGACCTGATTATACAAGTCCGAATAAAAGATGATTATACAAAAGTAGCATTTATATAAGATTCAAACACTGATTAGTTTTAGGAAGCGTATCTACCATGGGTTGACAAATACAAACCGACCGGTCTGAAACACTTAGTTGGACAAAACGGGGAAAAATCGCCTATGAATAAATTATTGGATTGGCTGCGAAATTGGGCAAAGAATCATCTCGGTATGAGTGGCAAGCAGAAAAAGGGTAAGCAAAATTTCTGTTTGAGGAAGTAAAAAATAAAATTTAATTTAACGAGG